ATACGAGTGCCGTAGGCGTAGACAGAGCAGAACCATCTGGCCCGGCTGGGGAAACCTCGTACAGCAGCATCGTCTCTGGGCGACAAATACGTGCACATCCCAGCAATACGCCTCCCCAACATGTACACACTCGACCAAACTCCGCGATCCGGTACGAGTGCAGGTAGCCAGCATAAACAGCACAGCACTTCCAATTCCGTCTCAGCCCATACCCACTCCTCTGAGCAGCCGGGCCTTAGTGTAGATGTGGCGGAGAATGGTCACTGCCTTTTCGGCAGCATCGGACACGCTGTGTGACTCCCTGGCTAGTTGTGCACGCCGTTTGGTCACTACATATGTGGACCCGCTATCACTCAGAGTCGAGGCGTTCACTGCCTGCCGCCTGATCCCGCTGGATAAACGGCCAGGGGTGCGCCCCATCGGCATTGGGGAAGTCGTCAGAAGGATCGTGGCCAAAGCCATACTGTCGGTAACAGGTAATCAGATCCAGGAAGCTGCTGGTACTCAGCAACTCTGCGCTGGACAAGAGTGCGGTATCGAAGCGGCCATCCATGCCATGCATGATGTATTCGACGATGACGAGGTGGAAAATTCAAAAATTGGATCCACTTGGATCCAGTTTTTGTATGGATCCAAGCACATTTCAAGCCGTCTTACTCTCAGCAAGGTGATGTAACCAGTGAAACTGACTGATTTGGCTACTGGGGGCGGGGTTACAACTGGTGGCGAAATAAAAGTCACACCTGCATGCGACATGAGTGGGTTGCTATGCACCCACATACTTAGGCAATAGCAAAGTCACACCTTAGTGGATCCAAAAATAGAAATCTGATGTCAACTTACTACTCCCTGGCCGTTTTGACGTCATCACTTTCAAGCCCTATTGGCTGACGCCTCGAATGCGTTTAACCGACTTAACCGACGGGTCTGCCTAAGGAACATTCGCCGCCTTTGCCCATCCCTGCCCCCCCCCCCCCCCACTAGCATCAATACGTACCGCCACCCCGCCAAGCTCTATGTGGATGGTGAATGCTTGCTATCCTGTGAAGGCACTACCCAGCGTGATCCGGTGGCGATGCCGATGTACGTCCTTGGCATCGTACCCTTGGTCCAGGCAGTCAACTCACCCCACATCACCCAGGTGTGGTACGCGGATTACTCTTCCGGCGGTGGAAGACTTCCAGCCCTCCGCACCTGGTGGGATGGGCTGACTGAGCAAGGAGAAGCCAATGGATACCACCTCAAGGCCAGCAAATCCTTGCTGCTGGTGTAGGAGCGCGCATATGATGAGGTGGTTGCACTCTTTGCTGGCACGGGTGTCCAGATCGTCAGAGATTGCTGTCGTCACTTGGGAGCCGCTTTGGGGCACCCCAGAGTTTGTCAGCAGTTTCGTTGAGTCAAAGGTCACCGACTGGACACGTCAGGTGTCTCGTCTATCCAATTTTACCCGGACTCAACCCCAGGCTGCCTACTCCGCATTTGTCCATGGTCTACAAGGCAAGTGGTCTTTCTTGTCCCGGACTTTGGAGATATCATCTAAGGAGTTTGGTGGTCTGGAAGCCATCATCAGGGAGCGCCTCACCCCAGCCCTTACTGGTCGCCTCTCTCCGTCCAGTGTGGGAGCGGCTTATGCTCTCGTTCCCTTGCCGGGATGGCGGTTTGAGTCTCTCGATTCCCTCCGCCCAATCTTGCCACTATGCCCACTCCCGAGCTGTTACTAATGAGCTCAGGGAAAGGATTGTTATGGCAGATCCCTCGCTAGCTGGTGTGGCAGACGCTACCAAGACCGCCAAATGGCAAGTCCGCACTGCAGCTCGGGCATCACAGCACCAGCTGAAGGAGGGATTTGTGAGCGTTGAAGGTGCTGTGCATGCGGCTCAGCTTGAGCTTGCTTCCGAGCGTGGTAGCTCTGCTTGGCTGACGTCACGTCCTCTATCCTGCCATGGCTTTCGTCTCTCTAAGTCTGAGTTTCGAGACGTTATGTGTTTGCGCTATGGCTGGGTGCCGGAGCGTTTACCGTCATCCTGTGTTTGTGGCAATGCGCGCGTCGACGTCTCTCACGCGTTATCCTGCCCGACCGCCGACCGGTGGATTTCCGTCTTAAAGACATAATGAAATCCGTGACGTCACCGCCGACCTCTTTCGCCAGGTGGCTCACTCGGTATCCGTGGAACCTCCACTGCAACTGGTGAGCAGTTCAGCCTCCGATCTGCGTCCTTAGAGGACAATGCTCGCCTCGACATCGCTACCAGTGGGCTATGAGGTGGCCGGTTCGAACGCACAATGTTTGAATGATATACGGGTTTTCAACCCCTATGCTGCTTCGAATCGTGCTGCCTCAACCTTCGCTGTGTATGCCCGCCATGAACGCGAGAAGAGGAGGAGATATGAGGAGAGGACTCGGGAAGTCGAGAGGGCCTCCTTCATGCCTGTCGTCATGTCGGCTAGTGGTGGTGCTGGGAAAGCCGCCACAGTTTTGTACAAGCGCTTGGCTGCTCTTATCTCTGAAAAGAGAAACGACCAGTATTCTGCCACCATGGCGTGGATTCGCACTCGGCTGTGCTTTGCGCTGGTGAGGTCGAGCATCATGTGTTTGCGTGGTGCCAGATCGTCCAAGTCCCGCTACCTCCACTGAGCGAGATCCGGTTGCGGTTGTCGTTGCGGAGGCACGCCTGCGGAGGCACGCCTGCGGAGGCACGCCTGCGGAGGCACGCCTGCGGAGGCACGCCTGCGGAGGCACGCCTGCGGAGGCACGCCTGCGGAGGCACGCCTGCGGAGGCACGCCTGCGGAGGCACGCCTGCGGAGGCACGCCTGCGGAGGCACGCCTGCGGAGGCACGCCTGCGGAGGCACGCCTGCGGAGGCACGCCTGCGGAGGCACGCCTGCGGAGGCACGCCTGCGGAGGCACGCCTGCGGAGGCACGCCTGCGGAGGCACGCCTGCGGAGGCACGCCTGCGGAGGCACGCCTGCGGAGGCACGCCTGCGGAGGCACGCCTGCGGAGGCACGCCTGCGGAGGCACGCCTGCGGAGGCACGCCTGCGGAGGCACGCCTGCGGAGGCACGCCTGCGGAGGCACGCCTGCGGAGGCACGCCTGCGGAGGCACGCCTGCGGAGGCACGCCTGCGGAGGCACGCCTGCGGAGGCACGCCTGCGGAGGCACGCCTGCGGAGGCACGCCTGCGGAGGCACGCCTGCGGAGGCACGCCTGCGGAGGC